ACATGCTCTTCACCTGTGGCTATCCCCTCCCTGAGGGGGGATGGGTGACATCTCACAGATTTACCAGCTGTCCGGGGAAAGGGATGCAAACTCTCCTTGGAGAATGAACCTTGCACATACAGTACTTCAGGATTAGTGGGCTTTTTTGCACTACTGACAGGGTCATAAATGTCTGATCTGTCCATGCATATCCAGCTCCTCTCAGGACTCCGGTCCACAAGGAGAACTGCTGTAAAGTGAAGCTGCACAGAGATTTGCAGGCAGCCTGTAACAAAACAATGTTCATATTCAGAAGAGCACCTACCAAGGGCAGAAAAATCTAGTGCCACTTCCTCACTGATCTCTTGGTGAACTATGATAATGTTGATTAAGACTTTAAATTCCTTAATAGTCTGAAACTGGTGTATCAGGATGATTGCTTCACTTTCTGTGCTCCCCTTCAATAGCTGCAATCAGTACAGACTTTCAAATGAAACGTTCTTCATTATAAAAGACAAAGGGGAGGGAATAGGGAAATAGATATTCTTGACTACAGCTCCAAGACTGGGATTTTCTCCCTTATTTGATCTGAAAACAGCTCAGTCTAGTAAAGTTTGAGACAAAAGTCACCTTTAGAGGGATACTTTGAAGAAAACAGGAAATTAAGAGAATGGCAGGATGTTTGAATAGATTTGCATATAATTCATTTCCTATTGCTTAATTGTCCTGATTAAACTTATTTGTATTTACTGGATGATTGATTACACAAGAATGCCTAAAAGCCTTGGTAAGCATCTATTGTGTTTTACATATAAATAATATAAATCAAATAATTATAATAATTAAAATATTACCTGTAAAAGAATTTATATGTAGCTATCAGATCATAATCAGATGAAAATTAATGACTTCTTAGCATTAATAGCAATTCCTTTCAAAAACTTTTTGAAACATCTATTAATCATTTATTAATGCTTTTTTCATAAATTTACTTCTGTAGGTACATTTCCACGACATCTGTTTAAACTAAAAATACTTTTTTCACTAATTTTATCATTTTATGGCTGTTCTGTGTGACTACACTATTCCTTTAGGTCATAGCATAAAGGGAGCCAAAGACTCAGTTTAACCCTGAAAATATCTGTACTGGAATTTTAAGTCTTCCAGGTACAAACTTGCTCTTGCATGTAGGTTTTTCTGTCTCTTTCCCTCGAATGATATTTTTGGAATTTGCACATTACATACACTGTGGCAAGAGAGGTCTGCAGTTTTACCACTCTTGAGTTAAATCAGACTGATAAAAAAAAAAATCCTTTAAAATTTCACAATATTTTATCACTGGCTGCTGGGAAAGAATCATGACCCAGGCATTATGTATGCATCATCACTTGAGATGTGCAAGCAGTCAACTGTCCCTGTCTAAACAGCATTTATATCTGAATCTTAGCCATAAACCTGTCCCTAAAATGTGAACAGATGGAAAAAGTGGTTTTGTTTCCATTAAGGAATATTGACTGAGTGTGGAAATTATGATGACCCAGCTACAAATCATAATACAGAAAACTGACTGTCTGCATTCTAAACATCCTCCTCACTCAGCTAAGAAGATGTTGAGGTATGGTAGGAAAGTGGTTTGTAGTCACTTAAGCAGAATGAGAAGCTGTATCAAAAACATTTAATTTTTATTAACATTCAGAATACTTAAAAGTATCCTAAATATCTCAAAAAGTATAAAGAAAAAACCCTACTTCATACTAATAAAATCTTCTTTGAAAATTCTTGCAGGAACTGAAAATAGGAATTTTAGAGAGGCTTTCTTACCATGACACTGTAAGTAGGCCAAAACATAAACGGAGAAAAGTTTAAAAAGATGCTTTAGAAAATATTACAGAATTATTCCAGTTACATTCAGCAGATTTTCTTTTTTAAAAAAAAGACACTAATATTGTTTTTTGACATCTCCATTTGCAAAGATTCTTTCTATTCTGGACTGTTCAGTCTGTGTTTTGGTAACATATCTTATTTTTCTGGTTTGGCCCTATAGTACCTTACAAATAAAACAAGTTTTTAACTTATTATAGAATATCTGCAAGAACTTGTAATAACTGCAACTAGGTTCCTTATGACTTCTCAATCAAATTACATAGTGTGGCATCAATGAGAATTACAAAACCAAAATTTTTCCTGTTTAGCAAATATTTGTCAATCTGCAGTACTTTTTGGTTTCTAAAACAGTTCAGAGAGAAATTCAGAGAAATATAGGATATACAATCTCAATCTTTCTATTCAGAGGTATACCAATACAGATTTCAGAAAACATCCTGAATTAAGTATTAATCTAGTAATAATTTTTAATATCGCCCATTGTCCTCTCACTATTTATATATTTATTACATAATTCTTTGTAGACCGAGAAGGCTTTTCAGGTTGCTTTCATATTTATTAGTTTTTGTCATCAATTGGAGTAGTCTTTGATAATACATGCTATTAATAGGTATCTTTAGTATGTCCAAGATCAGTGTGACCAATTTAGTTTTCTCAATAAAACCTTTCAGCATACAGCTGGGGGACAAAAAAAGGAAAATACAGGCTTGTATGTATATCCCCCGATGGTATATCCCCCGAAAACTTCCAAACCAGAAAGAAGAATTAACTAATCAGGAAACTTGCACAAAAGTAAGACATGGAGAAATAACATGACAGCATGTGGGAATGAATACAACCTTTTTCTCAAAGAAGCTGCATATTTAATATTAGTAGGATTGGCAGCAGAGATCCTCAATAGTCACAGTCTACTTCATGGTGGTAAAGTCAGCATAAGGACAGCAGGTGTTTGTACCTGTCACTCTACTCTGATTTTAGAATAGATCACCATAGAATTCAAGCAAGTTTTGGATTAAAATAACTTCAAGATCAATTTGTTTATGCAGAAATCTCCAAATTACCTGTATGCAACAACTTAAAAACATGCAATGGTGAAAGGATGTTTCAAAATCAAAGTGTGAACTTTTGAAAAGGCAGCTCCAGTCAACTAATATCCACAAGGGTGTTTCAAATTACACATCTTTCCCAATGTATCCAATTAATATTTTCATAAAATTCACATCAACAGAAATAATGGGAAAGAAAGTTTTGTAGGGAGTAAGATAAATACACTTTTCTACAGATTTAACACTGAGGACTTTTGTTTTGTTCTGTCTTCACAATTAAATTAAGCATCTGTGTGATTGACTCTGTAGTCACTGGGTTTGTACTGGGCACTGCACACTATTACACAAACTGGTCACCTCAGGTTTTAGTATTTCATATATATCAGGTTTGTGATAGACTGAAATGTTGTTAATGTCTTAAACACGATCAAAATCATAGAAAGCCTTTATGTCAAACTGCAAGGAAGCAACTCCTGTCTGGGACCACTCCTCCTCCGGAATATGCCTCCTGACTGGAATTTGGACTGTGAGGGGAACAAGACTATTGTCTAATCACCTCAGGTCTGAGGAGAAGTAAACAAGGAAGCCTGTCTCAAGAGCCTGCAAATCTTCCCCTGCCCCCATCAGGAGTGCCTGGGGTGCTTGTGCTTTGTGGGACCCTCACCACTGAGAAGAACAGAAGAACAAGACCCACAGGAGTCCACTGGGTTTCACAGAGTAGTGATACATTTTCTATTTAATTTCTGTCTGTCACTCTCTTCCTGCTCCCACCCCCTGCCTCCTTTTTCCCATTTCTCTCTCTCTCTCTCTCTCTCTCTGCCTCACATGTGCTGTTAAATAAAATCAATACTATTGACTTTGGCATATGGTCTAGTTTGCACCTTAATTCGGGCAGAGGTATTTCTAATAATTTTAATAACTGGATCTTAACACAGTTCTCATCAGAAAAAAAATTACTGTCAATTCACTGAAGGAAGCTACAAGAAAAAGATCTCAAACTTGGTCTGAAACATTACATGAAAAGAAAGGAAGAAGTAACAAATAGCCATTCATGTGCTGCCCTGCAAAGAGAGGAAACAAGTTGTCTTCTTTAGATTTACTAGTACTGAAAGAAATACTGGAAAATTAAACTGGAATAAAATGTACGTTACTATGATTTGCAGTATTATATCTATACACACAGTTACTGTGTTTGGTTGAGAAAAACAAAAGATAAAGAGTCATTATATGTTTCTTTGAATACATGTTAACTACGTGTTCATTATATGTTCCTTTGAAATAATTCTGTAATTTGGAATACGTTCTGTTTAGTGCAGAAATTTTGTCTATGTGAAAGGGAAAGAGATAACACATAATGGATAATTTGCTACATTTTTTTGTTCCATGACCTTGCTGGTAGCTTCCAAACTATTCACCTGATGCTGTATAAATCAGAAGAATGTTGGGGCTGCTTTAACTTGCACTAAAACTGCCAAAAGGTAAATTTGGATGCAAAGGCTTACTGATCTTTTGAATGCATTTTGTTAACATTACTCTGTATAAACATCCCACCTCAGCATGTACCTAAAGAACTTGTGTCTTTGGGGAGGCTTATGCTCTTTTCTGCCTAGAGGGGTGAAACTAGATGCCCTTTTAGAGAGCATTTATTGTTTGTTGAACAAACATTAGAGTTATGCTTTTGAAACAGATATCATGAATATTAACAGGTACACAGAAAGTTTACTAAGTAGCTCAAGATCAGAAATTAATGCCTAGAATTAAATATTACATAAGAGCTTACTTAAAATTATTTTCTGTGTGCATAATGCACATTCTCAAACTAACCAATTTCTACTCTCTTTGAAATTTATAGCTTCAAAAGTATTCTTCATATCTACTTGGCTGGACAGTGAAAAATGTGAAATATTTGTAAACTTTTTTAAAACTCAAAAGTAACAGTTGAATTTTACAAAACTACCGTAAGATTGGTGTAAAGAGGTCTTCACTAATATTAAGATACAGCTACTGGATTACGATAAACAAAGAAGCAGTTAACACACACTTAACATTCTTTTCAGTTAAAACACTCCCATTTATTTTTCTTATACTTACTTTGAACTCCATGGGAGCGAACTATTTTCCAGGTTTCTGAGGCCACCTCTTTTACATCCACTTGGTAGTGGTGAATGGGAACACCTCCATGTGACTCTGGCTTATGGAATGAAACCTTGGCAGTGGTTTGGGACAGCTCTAAAACTCGTACTCCATACGGATTTGATGGCACATCTAAAAAAGGACAAATGTCAATTTAATAATCAGCAGCAATTACACAGACCTAAACAGTTGATAATCTACCCCTGAAAGTCTCCTTAGCATGTTCAAGGGAGAAAAAATAAATATTGAATATGGTATAATAATGTTTGTGTTACATAAACAACTTGTTTTCCACTACAGAGCTGTAAGAAAACCACATTCATTTCCTTGTATGCTAAAGTAATGCAAAAACATTTTTGCCTTTCTTTTATAATATGATCTTTTTCAATAGCTAATTTCATCACAGTCAAATGCAGGAGATAAGTTTGTTGAGTGCATAATTATATAAAAAAGAATAACAAACTTTAAATCAAATATAACAAAAGGAACAGTTACACTAAATAGATCATTCAGAGTCTAAATTCTTCTAAATGAGATTATGACAAAGAACTGTATAAATAATTTGGCCATTTTATGGAACTATGAAATACAGCTGAAAACATGAATCATTTTTCTCTTTTTTTGAAAGACTGGATTTCAAGCTACTAGAAAGATACATTAATGGAAGGTTTCTATTCTCTGTTCAGTTTAAGAACTAATTTGCAAAATAGGTTGAAAGAAACATTTTCCCTGAAATCAAAAGGAAATGCATATCTTTCAAAGTAGAAAAGAACTATGAAAATAGAGCAGGTGTTTGTAGGTGTTGAAATGAGAGATATGAAAAAAAAGCAAAACAATGACATCAGGGTCAGCACAACTTTAAAAATAGAAAGGTTACATTACTTCTAAAATGTATGAACAAACACACAGGAGACAAAAGACTAGCTTTTCTAATTGTCCTACATTTTAAAGTGTTATAATTACAGAAGATGTTATTAAAAAATGCTAGTAAGAATTTTAGTCCTGTGGACAGAATACTAGGGATCTGAAACACCATTACAAATTTCTCTTCTGATCCATCTGAAGATTATCTGCATAACCACTTACACACTGGAGATTGCTTTTGTCTCCATGTTATGGAAGATACTTTTGTAAGGACATGCAAGAATTTGAGCCAAGGCCTATAATTTTGTTTGTGAGTAATGAACCATTTCCATGAAATATTGTTGGTATTCAAAGGCTTTCAGACAGTTGGGAATAAAAGGAGAATCAATCTGAGCTTCGCCCAGTATTGGTACTTGAATGAAAATGAGACAAAAATTTCTATAAAATATTAAAGAACTGATTTAGCTGACATATTCAGCCACAAATTCTCTGGAAAAGAATGCCTACCAAAGCAGGTCTAAAAGGGCTGGAAGGTGTATAACCTTTCGATTATCAGAAAACTAAATTATTTTCTGAAAAAATCTCTAACAGTTGTCAGACTTAAGTATCTTAATGCTGACATGATACCTCTGTGAATTGTTACAGTTAGCATTTCTGTCTGTAGGTCTCCTGAACCCTCCAATATTTGGTGGTCATTGGGTTAAAAACAGTATAGATGCCATCAAAGAATTCCAGGGCAGCATTGCACTGTATGAGTGATGTGAATGTATGACATGGATACCAATCATTTGGGAAGCGAATATAGCTCTTAGGTACTGAAGATAAATGCTCTTTTTGTATTTAATTGCAAGCTAAAAGCTGCTGTGGATACCTACAATATTGCAATAGCTTCTAAACTTCTAAATTTTTTTTTCTTGTTAAAAGAATTAAAATGAAACATAAATATTTAGGAGATAAATGAATAATTTCACCCATGTTATTTTTATGTTAGTTTTTGTATGCTATTTTAATAATGCAATTCACTGGTACTTTTGTTTGAATCAAACCAGATATTTGGTCAATGGTATGAAACAAAAATGTGTTATTTACATATCCACCCTGTTCTTGACTTTCCAAATGTTAAGATCTCCTTTCCTTGTGTGTTAATGCCTGTGCATGGTTAACTATAAGCATGGCATAGGGGAGATGACACCCTTCAGGAAGAACCTTATATTCTCTACTGCTGGTTCAAATACAATTTCTGCCCAATGTAGGTAGGATTCCTTGCGGTAACAAGCGTAAAATGAAGCTCCTGTGAAAACCCAGTAAAATATTTTGCATAACTAGCACAATGCAATCTGTTTAGAACTCACTGAAGTGTAAAATACATCCACAATACTATTTTAAATATGCATTCCACATTCCAGGCCACCCACAGGTGTAGGCAACTTTTATGCAGTTTCCAGAGTTGAACTATGTCAGTTCTAAGGAAAACAGTGAATCACCTGAAGAAAATACAGCAGGAGACACTTCCGAGTTAAAACCAAAACCAAATACTAGCAATACCATTAAGATACAAGAAAATACCTACTACCTTTTTCAGACTGAGCAAATCTATAACTTTTTTCCCCAAAGAAGATCAATAGCAGCATAACGAAATGAATCTAATTTTGTAGTTCTCTGATAGTAAGAATTTGATCATGCAAGGTATACAGCCTTCTGGTCTTGATCTAGCTAAACATTCCAGCATTTGAGCTCTCCCCTGTCAGCCATAATTACTTGGAGCATTGCCATGATTTCCATGTCAGAATTGCAAGGCTTTTGGCTCAATGTTTAGCAGGAGGGAAGGATAATTTGCGATGTTGTGTGCTCTGAAGTCTGCATCTGGAAGAATACAGCTATGGATGTTTCTTGTTCTTTTTCCTTCTAAAACCAACCAACCAAATGAATCTTAGAGGAGTTTAGCTATGGGCAGTGATCATATTTTGTATACTGATGTGGATACAAGTCGAAGGATTATGTAGTAGAAAATGTATGGGATTTCTTTTCTCTGCTCTAAAGATCACTTAGTGACAGCAAAGATTCTAGTATACTTCCTCAGAAGTTCCACTGCCAGTTTTTTTGTCATTATGCTGCTGTCAAAACAAGGGATAATTCGTCACAAGTTCAGCCTTTAAAATAAAATACGACATTAAAAAAAAACAACTACAGGTGTCAGCTGTTTAGTCATCTTTTGTCTTCTTTCCTCAGCAACTATTCCTCTGTTCATTATGTGACTGTATTCATGTATGATGTTAAACAATTCCTTATAAATAAAATCAAAAATTATCCCCTCATAAGTGTAAAATTGCACTTGTATGCAGCACATAATTCTGGATTGGACAAATGAACTTTGTGCCTAAATAAGTAGCATTAGTTTGGTTCCAAAAACATTATCACAGCTGATAAAGAAGTACACACAGAATTATGAGTACATATTTATCTCCACTGACATGTAAATAGTCTTTCAAGTCTATTACAATTATCACAAAACCTGTTCAATACATGACCCTTGTTTATCACTGAGAATTTTCTTTTCAAGCTATTTTTGTGATAGTTTTATGGAAGAAAATAATTTTCCTTCTGAGAGTTTAGCAGTCCCAATATAAATGGAGAAAAGGAAGTGATGCTGTGAGAGTAGGGAGTGGGCTCAGAGACTTGTTTTCCAGTTAAGTCGTCTCCTATCTCCTGTAAGGATGTTCCTACTGCAGCTCTGCAGCTTTTCCTGTCTCTGTATATCTGGCATATATATTGACTCAAAATAACTATGTCTAAATGCTGAATGTAAGTACCATCAGGACCTTGCCAGGGAAAGAGAAGAGGCTGGGGACTAGACCTTTGGAGTCAAAAATCCCTATGACACAGTTTGTACTTGTACATCCTTGGAATGGAAGAAAAATTCAATATTACATCTACATAGATTTCTTTTACCAAATCACTGGCAGTTCTGGAAAAATAAGGATTTAGTTAAGTAACCAGGACCACAGCTAGCAAGTAAATATATAAAACAAATTAAAATAAAATGCACACAAAGCAAAACTCTGTTGTCATGTTGATAGTTTCACACCTAGGCCATATAAAAAATATGTTGTAGTTTTTCCTTTTCTTTTTTTTTTGTTCTGTTTTTTTTTCAGTAAAAATCTTTTAGCTGATGCTGTTAAGATGTGAATGGCAAGTTTTAAAACAGTGAGCTAGATTTTAGGTCTGCCCGTATTTTTGTGGCAGTCAATAGACTTTTGGCAGAATATGATTATCTTTTTCATTATATTATTCCTTGGGGAAAAATAAGTCCTACATCTTTGATTTTATTTTGCCTGTGTGAAAATGCAAATACTTGGGGAAACAAAAGGAACATCCATTAACCAGCAACAAAGTGCCAGCATTGAAACTCCAGACTAGTAAACTTCTTAATTTGATGTTGTAGCCTTTGTCAGTTATTGATCAGCCTTATCATATTCTGGGCATGACTTTATTCCATAAAAAAGATTAGAGGATATAGTTTCTGTGAAGCTCAATTACTGTCTTTCCCACGTTTTAAATTGCTTTTGTTGTCATTATTCCCCATCTTCACTAACTTTCTCTGTATACAGGATGCTTAAAGAACATTTAATTAAATAAAGAGGTGTAGGAGCTTGCAATATCTAATGATATCATTGAAAGTTTGCTTTTTAATTCCATGTAACATTGGTTTAGAAAGGAAACAAATAAATCATATAGCTACAACAAATATAGCTGCTAGAGGCATGCTCAAGGCATGACATGGTGAGATCAGAATTTCAGCTTTCATCAAAAATGAAAGTATACTTCTAGGTACAAAGACCAAAAGACTGGGGCAAAAAGGGGAATCAGACTGTTTTCTGAACTTTTAAATCCTTTGCCATCCCAGAATAAAGAGGGGGTCAGGAAAGTCTAGGATGAGTAAGGCCATGAGAGCCTTGGAGGTGAATCACTATTTTAGATTCCATCCAGCCATACATTGCTATGTGCAAAATATACATTGAATAATCCAGTTTAGCTCTGTGTCATAACCTTAAGTTTTACCATTCTAAGATATTAAATTACCTATTCCAAAAACATAGTTTTAGAGTACTGATGGCCACATGATTTTCTACTTCTCTATACAAAAACCATTTAAAATAACAATACTGAGATCCAACATAAAGAATGCTTTGCTAGTTTCTACCAGCTTCCTGCATACTGATATTTCACATAAACCATGACTAAACTAGAACTGGACAAATCTAGGAGTATCTGTGATCACCTCAGGCTCTGAGAGGCATTGGGAAAACCTGCCAAGCTCACCAGGCTTGCTAAAATCTGATCCTGTCATAGATTAAAACCATAGTGTAAGCAGACTTCTAAAACATAAGGTGTGGCTGTGACATGAAGGAATTAATTTGCAGTGGCAAAAAATGCCTGTGGTTCTTTTCACACTCTACATGTTACTCACATAACAATTTAAATGTTTAAGCAATGAAAAAGCAGGAATAGTTGAACTACGTGATACTTTTAGGAGTTGATCACCACAAGTCAGGAGAAGAGCACATCTGTTTAAGCTTTCAACTGGTGGTCAGCACCTTTCAGTGTGAAACCTCAAATAGTCTGCAGTTCTTCAATTGTTTTGAAAGTTTAAATGGAATTCAGGCTGATTCAGTAGCTCTGTATAATCTGAGTGAACATTTATGGTTTTCCTGTCATACAAAATGGTATGGCTGCAAATTGCATCTAAATTCTGAAAGAAATCTTTTTTTCTTTATCATCAATAAGTCTAATTTCTTAAGGAGGGCAACAGAAATAAAGATAATGACATCGTGACAGTGTGATCACTTTTCAAGTAGCAGTAAAGTAAAAAAAGAGAGGTAACTTGATTCTTCTGAAATCCAGCAAAGCAGAAAAATGGAACAAAACATGAAGGAACAAGTAATTCCTGCAGAATTTAAAGAGAAAGCTATGCAGTAAAAATACCATTATTTGTAAAATTTACCCCAGCAGCATACTTTGCTTAATACCATCTCCAAGCTAGGAACAGTATTTATTTTTCCATAACAGAGGCTTTGTAAAAGCATGCTATGCCCCAGCACTTGTATTTATAATCAAAGCCAGAAGGCAATCCAGGCTGCATTGCAATGTATGAAATGATTTTATAGGCTTTAATAAGGAAAATATCAATAATTAGGTCTTCCTAATCTACCAAAGTAAAGTGACAGAGGTAATAAAACTAGAAAGAAAGCTGTATTTGACATTTTATACCTGTATTTATTATTTTATCCTCCATCTCCCTGATTGTTTTCCATTTTCAGTTTAAGTGCAAAACTTGTAACTTGTTGGGTTTTTTTCAAAAAACAGGGTCTATTTAGATGTAAATCCTCAAAATATCAATCTTTCAGGATACTGAATATTATGCATTACACTACTGTAAGTAGTGGGCAGCATAATGGAGCCCTGACACCCCCAAACCCAGGGTTTCCAGCCCTGTTCATTATCACTACTAAAAAACCTGCTTTCCCCTCCCCCCCATTTTCTGCATTTAATATTATTATATAGAGTATCCATATATAGCTCATGACTTACATAATACCTTCCCATAATTCTTTATTTACCTTGCTTTGCCTTTTTATTGTTATAACTCCAATATATAATTTTTATAAGTGTTCATCAAGTTTTCTGATGAACTGACTGAAAAAAATATTAAGTGAACTATTGCAAAAGTAAAGAATATTAAGCTCTTTGAAAACCTGGCATCAGTAACATTTCTGATACAATTGTATTAAAAAACCAAGCCAGGATTATAGTTTGTATGAAGTTCTTTGTTCTTTGCATTTCCAGGGGCTCTCATGTATGAATTTTCTGAAATATTTCAAAATATCATGTTCTTTTTCAATTGACAATGCTATATTCTTTGTATTGAAGTTAATTCATTAATTATAAAAGCAGGGAGGATATACATAGCTAAAATGATCACCATGCAGCATCATTCATTGTGATGGGATACTGTGCTGCAAATCTAAGAGGAAAAAAAACAATATTCTGTACAGTATCTGTTGAGATGCTCTCCCATGTTATACATATTTATGAAAAAACAGCACACAGCAACAACTACAATATTTTCTCTTTTTTCTTTTTTTTTTTTTTTTCTCTCCTGGAAGGTAAGACACCAGAGGGATACAAGTGGGGATTTTCCTTCCCTTTCCTATCATTTATGTTTATGGCTTCAGGAAAGACTTTTTTTCTCAGTAGTCTCATGTAGCTTTCAAGGGAAGGTAAGATCACAACACAGTTAAGACCCTAAAAAAGTAGTAAAATGAAGGGTGGTGGACCTTCTGAATGATGTAAAATTGTGCCCCATAGAAATCGCATGTTTCTCAAAAAAAAACCCCACATTTCTCTATTTCAGGAATCACAACACTTTTGATGGTTCTTCAAAGTAAAATACAGGAAGAGAGCGTGTTAGTAATTCATCCCATAATGGTAATGGGAAAATTTATCAATACTTTGTAAAAAGTCAAAGTAGTTTATTAATAAACAACTGGTTTTTATAATACCTGAGATACCTAAAAAAACCCAATCACCCTGTGGAGCAAAACTATACAAATTAAACTACCAGGCCAAGTAACAGAGCTATGACTGGATGTGAATGTTTCAGTAAAGCACCTCCAAAACTCCTTCTAGTAGAGTTCCAGAGTGTTGATTTCCTTATTTAAGAAAAACAAACTAAAAGTCACATTCGACTAAAGCATTCAAGATCATAAAGAATATACATGTATTACAAAAAAAATAGATATAAAAGACCTTATTTCTACCTGCCCCTTTAATATATGTCAGCCAGTTTGGTGTTACAGTGTGGCCTGAAAGTGGTCCATAATGACACATCCCAAGGGGTGCAGAGCTCTCAGTGTGGCTGTTCCTTTAATACCAAGCTAGACTATAGCTCCCTAGACATCATTAAAGCTGGCAAAATTTGCATCATTAAGTACATAGATCCAAATGCTTGGAGACCTCCAAGCCTGCTGAACAAACATTAGTTCATTCTACAAGAAAATATAATTGAAAACGAAGCCAAGAAACTCTCTTTTGTTCTCAGTTTATAGTTATTTCAGCCCAAGAATGAACATGCAGTCAGATTTCTATATTTGCCTAAACAACAACAGAAGGACCTAAAAATTCTGCAAGAACTTATTCTTACAGAAATCCTGTAAGAATAAGTTGTAGGACATCTCAGAGCTTAAATTAATTCAATCTAGCACTCCAGCTCAAATTCTTCTTTTAAATAACTAAAAGTGCAAATGAAGGTAGAAATTCTCTGCTGAAGTATCTCAGTCTTTTGTAATCCTTAGTTTACAAAGAAAATACCAGGGAGAAAAAGTAAAAAAAGAATTTCCTAGTTCCTTCTTACTTTTATTGCCTGCAAACCATATGTCTCTCTGTTGAAGTAATGAAAATACACTGTTATAAATGTAGGATGTAGTGAGGGCAAAGGAAAAAAAGTTACACTAATTTAATTTCTTCAAATTTCAGAAGGCCTTAAAATTAAATCCAAAAAAGATTCATATTCTGAGGGAACTGGTTTATTTTACTTTATATTGCAACTCAACTTTTAGAGAATTAAATTAACTGCAAACAGTCCATGGAATAAAAGAAACAGAGGATAATGTGCCTGAACTTCATTTTGGTTACAGTAAAAAAAATATTTAAGAGAAGGAAACAAAATTTTAACTTACCAGCTTGACCAAGTGTATATTCCTGATATCTTGTTCCTATTCTGTTTGTGGCTGTACAATTATACCGTCCAAAATCACTGTCAGAGGTGGGAGCAATCTTTAAAATGAATACAGTTTGTAAACATTAGTTGCTAATAAAGTATAAATGTAAGTATATTCTCCTTAACCAATATGCAGACGTGTTCTTACTTCAGCCTATCTGGTATATTCCCCAAACATAGACCTAAATACATCTTTTTCCATGTTAAAGTCTCTCTTCTCAAATGCCAATGAGGAAATCCAATCGTGGAAAACAGTGACATTGTTCATCTTTATAATTTCACCCTTAAACAAGAAAAATAATCTAATAAACTCTTTGTATATACAAAATACCTACCAGGCAGTCAGTTTAATTTTTGGTATTAACTTGATGTGCAAGGTTTATGTTTATTTATGTATTTATTTACTTCCAAGAATTGGAAGTTGCATTTTTGTTCGGTGCAGATGGAAACCTGTGCAGAAGCCACGCAAATAAAGCTTATTTTCTAACTGCTAACCAGAAACATGGAGATAAATCAGTTCCTATACAGTTGTTTGTTATTTTGGTATCTTTTTAAAGAACATTTCTTGTTAAATTGTCTTATCCTTTAATATACTCTATAGTACTTTCAATGGTGACAAAATGAGGATAAAAATATTTTATATCACCACATTGATTTGCATTTTAAGCCTTACCTCTAGAATCAGCTTTCTTCCTGTACTGTAGGTCTTCAGATGTGTTGTATTTTTTATGGGTAAAACTAATTTTCCTCTTCTCCACTGAACTGAGGCAGAGGGATTTGCCAGCACTTCACAACTTATATTGATAGGATTGCCTTCCCAAGAGTAATACATGGTTTGATTTGACACAAACGTTGGAGCATCTGGAAAAAGAAAGTAATGCACAAGTACATTGACTGGTTTAGTAAAACAAGCTGTACACTTATATCCAAGTCTTCATGTTCACAGAGAAATTCCAATTGATTGCTGTGTCAGTTTATTATGGACTATGAAAGCAGTAGTATTCAACCTGGAGTTTGTTAAGCCTTCATCTTGTTAAATTTCTCCTCTCCTGAAACTGTTTCAGCTGAAATTATGAGAACACCTGCTAATTATATTTATCATTAGGTAATATCAGGCCCTTAAAAAACAATATCTCATAAGTGAGGAAGAACACTTCCACTTGAGGATGAGAAGCTCTTTGGCCAAACCCTTTTATGACCAAGGGCGGTGACCTACAAAGCTTATAGAAATAATGTGTTCACGTGCTGATTTTATAGTGCCATCTTTTGCTATGGAGAAATTATATTCACTCTCCAAACTTTTATACAAGTGTTTCAGCTTCACCCATTTCTCACTGGAACTGTGAACTTATGAAATGATCAAGCTACAGACAAGAAAAACAGTGGTGTGTTTTCCTTACAAACCTGCCTATAAACGGGTACATTAAACATATACCAAACACTGAGTCTGACACAGAGGAAATTGCTGGTTTGCAGACTGTGATTTTCAGATCACAATGCCAGTAGTGACAAGACTTATCTGTTCTATTCACTGTTTCTCTGGAGAGCAAGAACAGTTTAGTGATCTCTAGAAAATGAGAGGGAGTAGCTTTTTCCCCTCCTCTTCTGCTTATGTCTTAAGTAACCAGTATTTTTTCCTATCAAATATTTGGTTGCAATTTTTTTCTACTTTTAATTATATTTTATGAGTATTAAGAAAATATTCTTTTTATTATATTCAAGGAAACTCTCTTAGCACTTTAATACCTAAAGAGAAGTATTGGTTACAGCTTTTTAACATCTGAAATATATAGGTATATATTTTTATTCTGACAAATAGCTCCTAGATATTTCTAGGAAAACCTATTCTAGTCTTCTCACAAATTGTTTAACTTTAGGCTAGAAAATTGCTAATAGGTCTGTCAGAGACCAGAACTGAGCACATTTAAGTACTAAGTGAAATTTAGCTTCAGGTATGGTTAAAAACTACTTCCTTTTTTTTTTTTTTTCTTTTCTTTCAAGTTCCCGTTTTCAATTTATTTCTGTGTTTGCCTCTGTCAAAAAGAACAGCTTTTTGATGACATATGCTGCTGCTGCATGCAGGCATACAGGCTTTGACCAAAAAGAATTGCTATGAATAGAAGTTTTAAAGCACAGATCAAAGCTGCTACATTGCTCAACACCAGCAGCATCTTCTTTAATAACTGTTCAGCCTTTATTTTTGTAAGAAAACCAGCAGTTTCACCCAAATAACTAAAGCACGTCTGACTATGAATTTATTTACCAGACACAGGAACTCATTTTTGTGTTCCAAATGTTTTAATAAGTAATTCTAGTGCTCTTGATTTTCGTAGACCTTTAAAAAACCCATATTTCATCATCTACACAGGTTAATGTAAAGCATGGGCTATCAAAAAGTCTTCAGAGTGTGACATGTCACGCTAGGGGAGAATATGAAGAAAAAAGCAAACTGCAAATGCCTGTTTTATGGATAAGGATGATCAGGAGTCTCAGAATACCAAGAGTCAGAGCCTTGGCTTTTCCTCTGTAAATGAAGCTCATGGAGGGATCCACTTGTAGGAAGAGTGCGTGAACTGACTTCTGCCTGCTCAACAGATGGATCAATAATGTTTTCGACATATGGATCATAAATCTCATCAGGGTGTTTGTGAGGCACCAAATGGGGTTATTTCACACCAAAGGTTATGTAAGCACTGTCTCCCAATGCACATTTCTCAGAATTTCTCTGTTAATGAACACAGGCATGAATGCTGAAGACTGAAAGATGCTCTGTCTGAATATGAGTAACTTCCTTGGTAACATTATATGGTTTGATGCTCTCTGTTGATTTAAATACATGTGGCAAACTCATATCTTATTTTACAAGTCTTACAAGTGAAAAAGTAATGTACACTCCTATACTGCAGGTACAAGCATTTAGGAGAAGAGGGACTTCTAGTTCAGAGTGCTCTCTCTTCTAAAGGTAAATTTTGGATGACCATAGTATGTATTTGTTTATATTTTAAAATTAGGTGAGTTATGGACTGCCATCTCTACATAACTACAGATACTAGTACACATAAACATAAAAAAACACAAGTAGGACTAGAAGTCTGTCAAAAAAAGGTATATCTCAAAACTGACAATTCACAAATGTAAAGCATTCCAAAACAAAAAGAGCTTCACAATTTCCGTCTCAAAAAGTCTGAGTAAAAAGGCTTTGCAGCCACTTCCCCAGAAGTCAAAAGCTCCAATATAGGAAAAACAGAAGGACTGTGCTAATGGCTTGATTCAGAAAAATTATCTTAAAGGAGATGATTTTTGATTTCCTAGTCAAAAATAGATTAAGGTGCCTGGAGTGATGTTTTACACAAAGAAAATAAGTCTGGAAATTATTTTTTTTACATTACAAATAAAAGATATTTTACATTCTTTATAAAATTTTAAAAATTGAGTTAGAAGGGAATAATTGGTTTTTAAAAAGAATTTGCTTTTTCTGGTATGCCCTTCATCACTAACTGCAGTATATTATGATTAAATGGTTACAGAATTAGTAGTTATCAAACATAAACACAAAATATGTTTAATATAAAATAGAGCATGAAAAAATTAGAAATCTTAAGACGAAGGCTTTGAAAACATAAGGTTGACTATTTTATATGCCTGCAAAATCTGATCTCTCCAGTTTTTTAAACTAATTAAAAAACAAATAAACAGAATATTTGTCAATAAATTCTATTAACTGAAAATTAAATAAAACCAATCAGAAATGAGAAGGTGGACCTTCTCATATGTTTACATATGTTGAGGCTCTTTAGCTGCAATATATTTACTGTACCAAAAATAAAAAGGCTTCAGTGCAGATCAGTTAGAAAATTAAAACCCTTAAAGAATAATAATATGCTCTGCTTAGCTTCTATGTAGCTCAGAATTAATTTACACCTGACAAAAATCAATGCAGGGTGCAAATGAAAACCTGCTTTTAAGCTTTCATAAACAAAGTACTACCAGTTAAGGGAGCATGCTGGACTTCTAAATAGCTAAATAGAAGTAGAAGATTGAATACAGTCAGTTTTTAAAAAAATCAACACTGATGGTATTTATTATACCTGAACCTTTGGCACTCTACAGAAAACAAAACAAAACAAAACAAAACAAAGAAAAAAAACCAACAAAAAAAAACAAACCAAAGAAATGTACAAAAGCTACTGTTCATGTTAGTTAATAAAGGCAAGGCACACAGTAGCATAGAATGGTTTGAGTTGGAAAGGACCTTAAAGGTCATTTAGTGCAGCATTCCTGTCATGGGCAGGGACACCTTCCACTAGACCAGGCTGATCAGAGCTCCATCCAACCTGGCCTTGAACACTTCCAGGGATGGGGCATCCACAGATTCTCTGGGAAACCTGTGCCATGGCCTCACCACCCTCACAGGGGAGAATTTCTTCCTAAAAGCTATTCTGAAACAGCCCTCTTTTAGTTTAAAACTATTGTCCCTTGTCCTAGCACTACAGATAAAAAGTCCCTCTCTCTCTCTCTTCCTTATAATCCACCTTTACATATTGAATGGCTGCAAAAGTCCCCTTGGAGCCTTCTCCTCTCCAGGCTGATAAACCCCAACTCTATCAACCTCAGGAGAGGTGTTACAGCTCCCCGATCATCTTGGTGGCCTCCTCTGGACCTGCTCCAGCAGGTCCATGTCTTTCTTGTGTTTGGAACCCCAGAGCTGGAGGCAGCACTGCAGGTGGGGTCTCAGCAGAGCAGAGCAGAGCAGAGGGGCAGAATCCCCTCCCTCCCCTGCTGCCCACACTGCTTTGGATACAGCCCAGGATGTGATAAAAGTTCATAAGCACTGTTATAAGGTTCAGCTATGAAAGATGGAATATTATTTTGGAGACATGAAGCAAGCCAAATGAAAATGATTCCTAGAAGGAACAAAGACAATATTACAAAGATACAAAATTCAACAAAACTATTTTATGAGCGTAGGATTCTACAAATTTAGAGTGGTATTTTAGAGTAGTTAATGCTATGGCACCAGCATCAGCTCAACTCAACCTGTTAATTTTCACAAACAAGAAAGAAACAGGCAGGTCAGTACTCCAATTAGAAGTCATTCTGGATAAACCTGTGTGAGATTATTTAAGAGAAGCAAACTGTGACCTGAAAGCTGTCTGTTGTATTTAGATATCCTTGTTAGGCACAATGTCCAGGAACAGTTATTCAAGAGCAGACTAATGCATCACCTGTCTTGTCTAGAAGGTAATTAAATTAAGGACTTCAAAGATCCAGCTCTGGTGTACGTTCAGTGTAATACACAAAATTAGATATAGCAAATTACCTGGTTCAGTCCATGTGTCCAGAAAACTGTAATCAAAAACTTGTGTGCAGAATGAGATTTGCACTTCTTAATTCAAGAACATAGTTTTTCAAACTTTTGGCTATTTGTTCCTCAAATAATTTGTTTTCCTGGATCATACAATGAAAATATGCAATAGATTGTCAGGCCTAAGATGCTGGACATTTCCTGCAGTATATTATTGGAAGCTTCTCTCTTAGATGATTAATACTAGCATAAGTTTCCCATCATTAAGGGCTTTAATAAACCACATCCTCTAGCAAATCTAGTACTGTCCTTGTCATTGGTCCTGTAAAAGCACCTCAGTTTTTTGTAACTCTGCAACAATTTGGTTAACAGCTATCTATCTTTCTCTTGTATTTTCTCCCTCATACCTGTTTTGAAAAACAAACAAGCAAATAAACAAAGAAAACCCCACAAAACAAAACAAACTGAAACACCAAGAAATTTTAATTTCATAGAAATATCTGTTGTGAACGGAAAAATTTTCTAAAAATTTACCTAAAAATTACCTCTCTAAAAT